CTGCCTCCAGAAGTCACAAAGGGACAGATGCTATGAGGCCACAAACCATCAGATACCATCTCTTCTTCCCCTGACCAGCTGCTGCCCCTGATTCTGCAATTCGTCCCCTGGGGAGGTGGGTGGGCAGAGACAGACATCTTGCAGGAGAGGAAATCAGATCCATCCACCTGCCCCTCCCTCCTCTCCCCCAGTGGCGTCCATGCCAATTTTGTCAATGTCACTTGGAACCAGTCTCCAGAGCACACCCCCACCCCCAGTCTCCGAGCACTCCGGACGCCAGATCCTGGTTCAACGTCAACTCTCATCTCAATAGCGGTCAATTCCAGCCCCGTCCACTGGTCAATTTCAGCCCTCTGTGTGTCCAGTCCAACCTCCGATCTCCCGCCCCACTACCCCTTCCTTTTCCTCTGCTCCTGCTTCTGCCCCCACCCAGCAGCCCCCAGCCCTCCTCAATGTCAACCCACGACCTTGCCCCCCGCCCACACTCTGCGCTCCCTTCCATCACCCTAGCTCCTCCGGGTCAGCATCCAGCTGCCGCGGCCTCGGGCCCCTCGCCCCCCTTCCCTGGGCGAGCTGCAGCCCCCCACCCCCGAGCAGCTGAAGGTCTCTGTCACCTCCGAGGGGCGCCGGGGAGGGCGGAGGAGACATCGCGGAGGGAGGGGGAGGCTGGAGAGCTTTGACGTTGCCCGGGACGCTGCCCACAGGGACTGGGGCATCCGCTGGCGTGCCCCCTCCCCAAAGTCCCCGCTCCTGCCGCGCGCGCGCGCGCGCACCGGCAGCGACCGCGAAAGTGTCTAAAACAAGCGGGGGGGGGGGGTTGGCGGAGGGTTTTATTTCCCTTTGTGCCGGCTCACGGCGGCCCGGCCGGGGGCGGCGGGCTGGTGGCTCCCCGCCACCCGCAGCGCAGCGCAGAGGAGCGCCACAGAGGCTGGGCCCCGGGGGGCCGCGCACCCCGCCACCCAACTTTGCACAGCGCCCCGCGCCCCGGGGGGGAATCTTCCCTCCGCTCTGAGGACCTAGGCGTCCCGCCTGAGCGCAGGGCCCAGGGGGACCCCTGGGAGGGATCCTGAAGCCGAACGCAGACGCCCGCCGGGAGGCTGAGCCGCGAGCGCCAACTCTGCGCACCTCCGCTGTGCCCCTGCCCTGGCGGGACGACCCCGTGCTCCGTCGTCTCTGGGGTCCTGCGGGGCGCGCCCCCTCCTCACCGGTCCCGCCGGAGCCCAGCCAAGGTGGCTTTTGGCCCGCCTCCCTGTCCTTCCTCCTCCTCCTCTGCTCCCTCTCCTCCGCCCGCCCCCTTCTCGCCCCTCTTTTTCCCTGATCCTTGCTCAGCCCAGCCTCGGGGCGCACCTGATCTGCCCCCTCCTCCCTCCCTCTTCCTTCTCCACCTCCTCCCTGGGGGGCCTTTGCCTGGGAAGGGGCCCAGGAAGCCGGGATGCGGGTCCCCCTCGGACAGTGACCAGGTTTAGGAAGGACACGCGCCCCCATGGCCAAGTGGCTGAGGGACTACCTGAGCTTCGGCGGCCGGCGGCCCCCTCCGCAGCCGCCCACCCCGGACTACTCTGAGAGTGACATCCTTAGAGCCTACCGCGAGCAAAAGAACCTGGACTTTGAGGACCCCTACGAGGACGCCGACAGCCGCCAGGACCCCGACCCCACGGGCCCTGGAGACCCTACGGGCCCCGCAGACTCCTCCAAGTACGATTCTCCCAAACACCGGCTCATCAAGGTGGACGCATCGGACATGGCCAAGGCCAAGGCCTTCCTGGACAGCCCTGAGGAGGAGGTGCGTGGTGACTGAGCGGGTGACCGTGGGGGGCTGGGCTGGCAAGGATTGGGCTGGGCCCCCAGAATTTGGGGGGCTTGTTTTGTGTGGGACCCCGGGGCATCAGCCAGACCGGGATTTTATATGTTTTTCCTTTTCGTCCCTGGCCCTGCATGGCCTCGGGCCTCTGGGACTGTCCCTGCTTTGACCCTTAGTACTGTCCCCGGCTCCCCCTCCCCCTCCCCAACTTGCCCTCCTCTTAGCAGATGGCAGGGTCTCCCCAGAACAGGACTGACTTCTCCTCGCCCACTTCTCTCTGGCTTCCTGGGTGGCACAGTGAAGTGCCAAAAGGTTGTGGGCAGTTGGAGCCCACCCTGAGGCTCAGCGGAAGAAAGGCCTGGCAATTGTCTGCTCCCCAAAGATGACAGCCTTGAACCATCTGTGGGGCAGTCCCCTTCTGCACACACGAGGTGGCCGGGAGTCAGGACTGCCCTCCCAGCTGCTACCTTGACAGAAGCAGGCAGCCAGGCCTATGCCCCCACGCTCCCCGCTACCAGCATTCCCATTTGACGGAGGTGGAAACTGAGGCCAGCCGAAGAGAAGCTGCTGACCCAAAGTCACGCGGCTCTAGCTCACTCAGAGCTGGCCCTGATGCGTTGGCTTTTCTACAAACATTTCCTAGGGAGTCAAGGAGCCCACCCCAAGGCCTCCGCAGAGGCAGGCAGGAACCAGAGAAGGGTTTGCCCAGAGGTTCAGGGGTGGTGCCACATCCCGTGCAGCCCCCACCATCTGCCTAAGGAGGCTTACATGCTGCTAGGATGCCGAGCTGATTCCTACTGTGTGCAGTCTAAGATGCCCAGGAAACCTGACCATCTTCTTCCCAGAATCAGCCAAGGGAACAACAGCGGTTTGGTCCATAAGCGAGGGTGGGGATGGCGCATGGCTGGATCCTGTTTCCGTTGTACATGGTGCTGCCCCAAACTGGGGACAGGCCTGACCGCAGCTCGTTGCCACAAGGAGAGGGGTGCTGGGTGGGAGCTCTGGGCATAGGGCAGGGCCCAGAGGCTCCAATAACCCGGCAGTCTGGGATCCAACCCAATCCCTCACCAGCTGTGTGACTGTGGGCAAGATGCCGCATCTCTCTGGGCCTCCGTCTCTCCTCTCCAATACGTGCCGCCGTAATGCACTTACTGATGGACGCTGCCAGCAGCATCTGCTTGTGATGTACGGGGG